CCATATCTGCCAAAGCACAAGGAACAATGCACAGAAGCATGATTTTTAAATTCACGCACAGCATTGAAACATTACAGTAAAATACACCTTTTGCAACATACGCTCACTTTCTCACTGATCCTTGGCAAGCACATATCTCTGCGAACACCCAAAACACGGTGAGTGGGGGTGCTGCACATGGGGAAAAGACCACTCATTCTGCAAGGGTTGTGATGCAGCTGAATAGGGGAAAAAATATAAAATTCTCCCACGCTTTTCCACAGGCAGGGGTCATTCTAGCAGATATCTCACTGCTATGGGTAAGCAGGGAAACGCTTGTGCCTTCCACCCTGGTCCCTATGCTGCTTGTTTGTGTGCCGCTTTGGTCCCTATACAAGTGATTGCCGAATGGTGTGGGAAAGTTTCCTACAATGGGGGAAGGAACAAAGCAGCTCTGCCACGGAACCGTCAGCAGAGGATTATTGAGTACTTTCAGGAAACTTTCCTGGAGAGCTCTCTGGAGGATTCCCGTGAGATCTCAGCATTCATCAACATCCTGTTCCGCCACAGTGATTAGCTACACAGGGAAATGTCCAGCTCACAGAAACACAGCTAACCTCCCACATTTCTATACCCTGAACCTACCTTCGCACTACACAAACCAAGCCATTTACCAGGCATCTCTTCTCCTGCTTCTTGCTTGCCGGAGAGCAACTGCTGAGACTGGCTAGATGCCTCTGGAGTGGTGAACAGTTCCTGGCTGCCTGCCTCACCGGCAGACCCCCCTGGGAGTTCCACATCATCATCTAACTCCACCAGGAGCGGCGAGTTGTATGGGCCTGTGGCACCTGTGCTCCATCAATATGAGAGCACGGGGCCCTAGCTCCACCAAAGTTCACAGCTGGGTCTCTCCCCCGGCCCCGCCTGCCGCCCCCGTGCGCCTCCCCTGGAGCATCCCCCCTGGCCCCGCCTGCCACCCCCGGGAAATTTAAAAGGGCCCGGGGCCCCCACTGCCACCACTGGCAGTGGAACAGAGCTAAGGCAGCTTCCTGCCCACCCACTCGCTCACCTGCTCGCCCGCCTGCTCTGCTTCCAGAAGCAGCCGGCACATCCCTGCAGCTCCTGGGGGTGGGGGGCTTGTCTCCGAGCATGCCTCCGCCCTGAGCTGCGGCCAATGGGAGCTGCGGGGATGGTACCTGTGGGTAGCAGTACATGGAGACTCCTCCAGCCCCCAGCCTAGGAGCTGCTGCCAGAGGGGGTGCAGGTCACTTTTGGGAGCTGCCCGAGGTAAGCACTGCACCCCTCACCCTCTCCTGCACCCCTGCCCCAGCCCAGATCCTGCCCCTAAACTCCCTCCCAGAGCCCGCACCCCACACCCCCTCCTGCACCGCAACCCCCTGCCCCAGCCCAGACCCCGCACCCAAACTCCCTCCCAGAGCCCATCCCCTGCACCCCATCCTTAGGGTGACCAGAGGTCCTGATTTTATAGGGACCGTCCTGATATTTGGGGCATTGTCTTATATAGGTGCCAATTACCCCCCACCTCCTGTCCCAATTTTTCACCCTTGGTATCTGGTCACATACCCATCCCGCACCCCAACCGCCTGCCCCAGCCCAGACCCTGCACTCAAACTCACTCCCAGAGCCTGCCCCCTGCACCCCAACCCCTTGCCCCAGCCCAGAGCCCGCACCCTGCACCCAAACTCCCTCCCAGAGCCTTAGGCAGGGGGGAGGGGGGATGGGACTTGGACCCGTTCTGGGCACCACCAAAAATTATACAAACCTGCTGCCCCTGAACTCCACTTCTTCATCAATGACTTTGTTCTCCAGGGTAGGTTGTCTTTCCAGTGTCTAGGCCCACCGAAGTATCCATGGGGCTCTTGGTGATGGAGGTGGGGTCACCACTGAGGATACCATCCAGCTCCTTATAGAACGGGCAGGTCTTAGGTGCAGCATTGGAGTGATGGTTTGGCTCCCTCACCTTATGGTCCGCCTGCCTCGGCTCCTTTATCTTTGCTCTGCACTGCTGTGTGTCCCGATCATAGCCCTTTTCACACAAGCCTCGAGAAATCTGCCCGTAGGTATCAAAATTCATACGGCTCAAGCACAACTGGGACTGCACAGCCTCCTCTCCCCATATACTGAGCAGATCATAGAATCATAGAATATAAGGGTTGGAAGGGACCCCAGAAGGTCATCTAGTCCAACCCCCTGCTCGAAGCAGGACCAATTCCCAGTTAAATCATCCCAGCCAGGGCTTTGTCAAGCCTGACCTTAAAAACCTCTAAGGAAGGAGATTCTACCACCTCCCTAGGTAACGCATTCCAGTGTTTCACCACCCTCTTAGTGAAAAAGTTTTTCCTAATATCCAATCTAAACCTCCCCCACTGCAGCTTGAGACCATTACTCCTCGTTCTGTCATCTGATACCATTGAGAACAGTCTATAGCCATCCTCTTTGGAACCCCCTTTCAGGTAGTTGAAAGCAGCTATCAAATCCCCCCTCATTCTTCTCTTCTGCAGGCTAAACAATCCCAGCTCCCTCAGCCTCTCCTCATAACTCATGTGTTCCAGACCCCTAATCATTTTTGTTGCCCTTCGCTGGACTCTCTCCAATTTATCCACATCCTTCTTGAAGTGTGGGGCCCAAAACTGGACACAGTACTCCAGATGAGGCCTCACCAATGTCGAATAGAGGGGAACAATCACGTCCCTCGATCTGCTCGCTATGCCCCTACTTATACATCCCAAAATGCCATTGGCCTTCTTGGCAACAAGGGCACACTGCTGACTCATATCCAGCTTCTCGTCCACTGTCACCCCAGGTCCTTTTCCGCAGAACTGCTGCCTAGCCATTCGGTCCCTAGTCTGTAGCTGTGCATTGGGTTCTTCCGTCCTAAGTGCAGGACCCTGCACTTATCCTTATTGAACCTCATCAGATTTCTTTTGGCCCAATCCTCCAATTTGTCTAGGTCCTTCTGTATCCTATCCCTCCCCTCCAGCGTATCTACCACTCCTCCCAGTTTAGTATCATCCGCAAATTTGCTGAGAGTGCAATCCACACCATCCTCCAGATCATTTATGAAGATATTGAACAAAACCGGCCCCAGGACCGACCCTTGGGGCACTCCACTTGATACCGGCTGCCAACTAGACATGGAGCCATTGATAACTACCTGTTGAGCCCGACAATCTAGCCAGCTTTCTACCCACCTTGTAGTGCATTCATCCAGCCCATACTTCCTTAACTTGCTGACAAGAATACTGTGGGAGACCGTGTCAAAAGCTTTGCTAAAGTCAAGAAACAATACATCCACTGCTTTCCCTTCATCCACAGAACCAGTAATCTCATCATAGAAGGCGATTAGATTAGTCAGGCATGACCTTCCCTTGGTGAATCCATGCTGGCTGTTCCTGGTCACTTTCCTCTCATGCAAGTGCTTCAGATCCAACAGGTCTGCAGTGGTCCAAGCGAGAGAGCGTTTGCTGCGATAACCTGCCATGGGCACATGAGAAGATGCAATGAGACCTCTCCAGGCTGAGAGGAAGTTTCTCCAGGAAACGGAATTTCAAAAATTCCCAGGGCTTCTAAGGGGGATGTTGTTGTTTTCCTGGCTGCAGGGCAGTGGAGTCCAAACTGCTGACCAGAGCGGTCACCATGGGCATTGTGGGACACCTCCTGGAGGCCAGTTAAAGCGGTAAAATCAAGCATGGTGTCTACACTGCCACTTTCAGCACTAAAACTTTAGTCGTTCAGGGGTGTGAAAAAGCACCCCCCAAGCGACAAAAGTGTTAGTGCTGAAAAGCGCCAATATAGACAGCGCTTTCTCACCGGGAGTCGTGCTCACGGCGATAAAGCTACTACCCCTCATTTGGGGTGGTTACTTTTTAGTGCCGGGAGAGCTCTTCCCCCAGCAATAAAGCATGTCTATGCTGCCCATGTCACAGCGCTGCCATGGCCGCACTGTAACGCGGGCAGTGTAGACATACCTTAACCTCTCCTTGGGGTGGTTATATTTTATTGCCAAAACAGCATTTTTGCCACCAAATGTCGCATTGCAGTATGTATGCACTCACTGTTTTGTCAACAAAAGCTGCCTTTTGTCGACAAAACTTTGTAGTGCAGATAAGGCCTAACTCAAAGTGTCACAGCTAAATACCAGAGTTGGACAGATTGTTTAGCATACGTAGTTAACACATTGCAAGGGCCCATTCAAAGTGAATTGGCCTGTTAACACCCCTCCCGTGGGAGGGAAGGAAAAGTGGGGAGAAGGCAGGAAGCTGGGAGGGTTGTTAGTGCCTTATACATTCTTATAATAAGCCATAAATCCAGTGTGTCTATTCAGGCCATGATTTTTAGTAGTTAGCAAAGTTACGAATTTAAAACTCATCCTTCTTGCTAAGCATTTATACTGGTCTCATCACTGTCCTGGTGGCAGGATAGACCCTTTTTATATACAGGAAATGGTTGTTTTCACTGTCCCTCTAAAGAATCCATCTAATCCAACGTATGGCGGTGCAGGAAGGAGTGTGTTAAGGATTGTGATCCTGTTTCCTCTTCCTCTTTTCACTCCTCCTCCTAGACCTTAAAAAATGTAATTGTAGAAATGCGCCTCAGTCCAAACTCCGGATCTGAGCACCCCCTAAATCCCTGTCCCCCTTCAGAGCGGGAGCTGAGTTTTCTCTGTAAGGAGCTGAACTAAACCCTCCCGTCTAGCCCCCTCTGACATGTTCTCTCTTTACTAGGTAGTTAGTGGGTGGGGAAGTTTGGCTCCCATCGCCAAGGAATCGCTTTCCGGTGCGGGTGTAGCCTTCAGTTCTTTCCCAAATTGCCCTCCCCCCCGGTGCTGGGGTATCTATCGCTCGGAGTATCGCTCTCACACGCCCGCCGAGGCGTGCGGAGGAAGGGAGCTCTGGCCTCCCCCGGCCTGGCTGTGCTCCGTAGCCCCTCTCGCTTCCCCACGCAGCCACCCTTGCGGTTTCGCAGCTAGTTCCCTCCTAAGTTTCAAAGGGCGCCACGTGACTTCCATGAAATTGACAAGCGAGAGCTGCCGCCGCCGTGAGTGCGGGACTCCCAGGCTCTGCCTCCCGGAGGCTGCGGCGGCGGCCGGATCCGGGCAGAGGGGGCGGCTCCTCCCCGGGGGCTGGGGAAGCACAGAGAGCGTGCGAGCCGCTGCAGCCAGGTGCTGGCTGCCGGGATGCCCCGGGCCGGAGTTTCCCCCTAGCGAGGCTGGGGACAGGAGTGCGCTGGCAGGGGCCGGGGTGCGGGGAGCGTGGCTGCTCTTTGGGCTCCCGCCGCGGCCCCGGCCGCTCAGCAGCTCCCGGGATGTCGCACGGTGTCCCGGCTTCGGGCAGCGTTCTGCAGAGAAGCGCCTCTTCCGATGGGAATCAGCCGCAGGTACCGGGCAGGGGAAGGGGAGGATGAAGGGTGCAGGGCAGCGGCAGCGGTAGTCAGGGTCCGAGTGGCACAGCAGCCGGGGCTTGGGGCGGGACACCAGCCGGGCAGGAGCAGGCTGTGGAGAAGCACTGGAGGGCGTGGGCCGGGATGTCAGAGCAGCCTTTCCCTGCTCTCATCCCATTGCCGCTGTACAAAGGTGGCTGAAGCCCCTTGTGTGCGCCCAGTGCTTTTCTTCAATTTGGCACCGACTTGCCTCTGGTCCTCTCTCTCTCTCTCTCTCTCTCTCTCTCTTAATTTGAGCAATTGTTGCTTATTCTTTATGGACTCCCTGCAAATCACATCACAGGAGGAAATGTTTTCCTCACTACCATAAGTGGCATCCTTCACCCCCACGTTCCTGAGGCTGTAGATCCGGGGTCCAGCATGGGGATCACTTTTGACAGGACCATGTCCTGATCTATGGCACAGCTGGAACTGGGTCCCAAATACATAACGCTGAGTCCCCTATAACATAGTGACCACAGTCAGGTGGGAGGTGCAGGCAAAGAAGGCTTTTCTCCTCCTCTTGGCAGGGCAGATTCACAGGATGGCAGCCAGGATCAGGATGTACAGGTAGGAGACAGGATGATCAGAACTGTAGGGCTGCCAGTTTTAGCTGGACATATTCCTGGAGGTTTCATCACATGACATAACCTTTAATTCCTGGAGATTCCAGGACAATCCTGGCGAGTTGGCAACCCTAAGAGAAATGGCTGCTTCCCTGCTTCCCAAGATGAAGAGCAGCATCTCATTGATGTTGGTATTGGTTGTCCTGAGCTTGTCTTGGGACACTAACTCCTGCCTGGAGATGCCTGTGCTGTAATCTCTAAGCCCCTAGGGAAGATGCAGAACAGAGCAAGATGCCCTCTTTCCATGGATCTGTAATTACCATGGGCGCTCCTCTTGCCCACTGTAGCCCTTTCTTTCATGAAACCACACACAGACATATGTCTCTCCTGAGCATGTCTGACACATGGGGTGGAATTCATCACTGGTGCGACTCCACAGTGTTACCTCAGAGATTAGTTCAGTTCACGGACTTTATCATAAATCTTCCTTGTAAGAGAGGAAACAGTGGTTAACTTGACGTACTTTGGAGTAAACATTGCTAGGAGCAACAGCAGCCACCGCTGCCAGCAGCCTTAACACTGTCATTGACATGCTGGGATGAACTCTGTGTCTTCTTTCTAAACCAACATGAAAGGCAACTGATCATGTCCTGTTACAGAGCTGTAGGGAAATACTTGCAGCATGGGTGGGGAACTCCTCCCCCTGCTCTCCAATCCCTGTTCACTCTTCTGCAGAATTTGCTGCAGCTTGGTGATGAATGTTCTTTCTCTGGACAATAAAAATCTTACTGTCTTCTAAGTCGAATGTGACTTAGATCTGCAGACAACTGTTGCTGGGCATTGTTAGCTACCAGGAAAGCTTATTTACTCGATTCCTTTAATGTATATAAAATTCTGCTCTAGCCTGAGAGGAAGCAAATGAAATTTCAGACCACATGGAGAATTTTTCAGGTATGCAAGGGAGGGTTAATCATTGGATTTATAATGAAAAGCCTCCTGAAGCCTCCACAAACCATGATCAAGACTCCATAATGAAAACAGAAAGTTATTTTCTAGGTTGTGAGTGGATTTTGTGTGTGAACAATACACGAAAACATTAATCCAAAACAGGATCTCTTAGTAAGATATTTTGTATAGGAGATTTTCCTTTCTAAAAAGCTAAAACATCTGTGATGGTGTAAATTTCAAAGATACTGTGGCATGTGTATTATATGCTATTTATGTAATCAACAAGGTTGTTTCTGGAAGACCACATGGTCTACTGGATTAAATGGACATAAACGCTATTATTCTGATTGGTAGAGTTAGGGCAAGATACAGGCAGGGGTACTGGAATAATTTTTATAGTGGGGGTGGTGAAAGTGGAAAGAATGAATTTGGTTGTTATTACTACTTCAAGCCAGGGGGTGCTGCTACACCTTCAGCACCCCTAGTTCTAGCCCCTTGGATGCAGGGTACCGCAGAATCAGGCCTCTCTATTTTTTAGTCCTGGTTGTGCCATTGACTTGCTCAACAACCCCAGCTCCCACTGATGTCAATAGGAGCTACAAATACACAGCACTTTTGAAAATCTCCATGCCTCATTTTCCCTGTCTGTGTAATGGAGATAATGCTACTTACTGACCTTTGCAAAGTGCTTTAAGATGTGTGGATGGAGAGGATTATGTAAGAATGAAATATTATTATTATGAAGCACACCAGATTGTTTGCTTATTTTCACTAAAAGTTATTTCCTTGCTTTTTGAATCTCAGTGCACTTTTTAAAAAAACAGCAACAAGATGTGTTTGGTTTGGTTTTTCAGAGTCCTGAAGAGGATGATAGGAAGATAAGACGGAGAGAAAAAAACAGAGTCGCTGCCCAGAGAAGCCGGAAGAAACAAACGCAGAAAGCAGACAAACTCCATGAGGTGAATGGGTACTTCATATGTTGCTGTTGTCTTTTGAGCGTTGTGTGCGGAATTTAACCATACTATGCATTTCTTAAACAGGGATATGAAATGATTTTTGTACTAATCCAGCATGAGGAAGTATGGGTTTGGTGTAAAAACATATGAATTACCATACTGGACCATGCTGGTGAGCTGTCTAGTCCAATATTTTGCCTACATTGAAACATCTGGAACTTGCCAACAGTGTTAGATCTTTATACTGAACAATTAAGGAATAAGCTTCCCATAGGGGAAGCTTCTCCTAACTCCAATAAGTCACTGAAGTATGAGGGTTTAGACACTTTATATATATTTTATCCTATCTTAAACTGTGGATGTTTCCATTGTGCATATAAATGTCTGATCCTTTTTGAAATCCTATTAACAAGCCCTCAGCATCAATAATATAATATGGTAGTCCTATTGTCTGTTCAGTTGTAACTCTACAGGGCAGGCATGTCTCTTTTCAGTGTTTGTACAGCAGCCAGTACAATGGGGCTTCCGACTCGACTGGGGCTTTGGGCACCACCATACTATAAATATTTACTACTATGCTACTAATGCCTTTATGTAAGTGACGCAGCTTCAGGGCCCAGTTCAGCACAGAATTATCTCTATCTTCTACATTGTGAAAATAAAATTTATCCACAGAAGACAATTTTTCATGTCTTTTGTTCTTGCAAAACACTGTGAAGTGCAGGAAATACTTGTACTAGGGTCACCATACCTGGGTTCCACGATACCAACTTCTAGAGATGAAATGCCAAATTTCTGAGCTTTTCTTCCCCTGGTGTCTACTACAGAATGTCTCCAAACTCTTCAATAATTCAGTTCAGTTAATTCATTCCCAGAGGCAGTCTCTGCTCAGGTAAGAAGCAGGACTGGAATAACAAGAGTGTGGGTCAGGATTGATGTGGGTGCAATGGCAGAGCTGTGTTTAGAAACCAACATCGAACCTACCTGCATATTTGATTCTTCATAGTGCTCTTGTGAGCATTAAATTCAAACACATTTTAAAGGGGGAACAATAAAGATAACTTCAGAGGGAAACAGTTTGTTACACTTGCTGGATTGTGGGATATTTGCATTTTCAGATAGGAAAATATGATGAATGATTATTTTCTTGCAATATAAGCACACTGGTCATGGTGTTGGACAGCCTGTGTTGATCTAGATATGAACTTCTGTGGAAGTTAACCCTGCTAACACACATTCAGTTGAAAGTGAAAACCAGAGAATAACTGCAGTTGCACTGAAACAGTGATCCCACAGCCTTTTCATGCTGATCAATATCATCTCACTGTATTCCCTCATCCGTCTGTTGTCTCTTGTCTTATATTTAGATTGTAAGCTCTTTGGGGTAGGGACTGTGTTATTGTTCTGTGTCTGTACAGCACCTAGCATAGAGGGGGTACTGGTCCACGAGTGGAACTCCTAGGTGCTACACTAATACAAATAATAATAATAAATTAATAATAATACCCCTCTCCCCCAGCATATATACCCAGTTCAGTTTATATTACAAGGTCTCTAGCAAGTTAGTCAAGTCCCAGAAGAGCGGCAGGTGACAGCAGAAAATGAGGGGCTCACAGATGTTTTCCAATTTTGTAATCATTATTTTATATAGTAGATAATGTAGAAAGAAAGTAGTGCTTAGTTTCGTTCTGAAACATAAATGCAGAATGTAGAGCTGAGTTAGCTGCTCTCAGGGCCAGACTTTGGGGTCAGTAGCTTTCATGGCATTACATGGCCAATCTGGGCTTCGCAGCCACACAAGTCATTGTACACCTGAAAGGGAAGAAACGCCAGGCACAGATTTAGCACTTCGGCAGTTGCCCAACTACTCATGTTTCCCAAAGCAGACCAAGACTCTGCCCAGTCTAACTTAGGTACTTTTCATTTTTTTAGGCAATACAAAACTGCCTTTTGCAGCCTGCAGAGGATGGTGTGGAACTCGTAAACCACCCCATCCCTTCAACCAGTGCAGAGGACATGGTTGGGGAAAGAAGCTGGGTATCCTGGTCACAGCCCACACTCCTGAAATCCCTGGTTCCCAGAATGGTCCCTTTGGGCCATTGCCAGCAAGCACAACCTAGAGCACCCTTAGGCTACAACAGTTTGTGATGGGAGAACTAGAACAAAATAGATTAGCCCAGGATCAGGAGAATGCAAAAGTGGCTAAATGCTAGCTTTGCAGTCCCCTCCTGAGTGGGACTACATGCTTCGTGGCCACAGCTCAGGATCTGGGCCCACAACAGTAGCTCAGTAAGAACATGGATAGTAACAGTTGTATTGTTACGAACATCTGTATTTATTAGGCTAGTTCAGTATTTTGATTCTTACATTAGATTTCAAAACATTAAATAAGCAGAAATAACAATTTATTCTGCTATCGTTTGATTAAAAAAGGTGAAGGCACCGAAAGGAATGTTTTTATTAGCAGTGGGCTTCCTTTTTTCATTCCAGGAATATGAGTGCCTTGAACAAGAAAATACCTCCCTGAAAAGAGAGATTGGGAAGCTAACAGATGAGATGAAACACCTGAGCGAGGTGTTGAAGGACCATGAAAAGATCTGCCCTTTATTGCACTGCTCCATGAATTTTGTGACCATACCCAGGCCTGATGCCCTCACCAGTTGCCTGCCAAGATGAGAGCTCCTCCTTATTGCCTTTAAATGCTGGTTATTGTTGCACGTAAATGGGAGAGATTTAAAGATCCAGCTTCTTTTTTTTTCACCACAATGCAGGTATATCCTCCCTTTTGCAGAGGGATGGACTTGATCTAATAGGCCTTTACATCTCTAAATCCTCTGAATATCAAAAAGGTCAGTGTGGGAAGAACAAGACTGAGCTACAATTTATTTTCTAGAACCTGTAATACACTGTTTCATGTTCATAAATGGCAAAATATGATACAATCTGCTTTTACAGGATGGAAACTCTGGAGAAAAATAGCAGTCTAGGCTAGGATATGATTTACCCCACACTATGCCAGCTATTATTTCTGAGTTGTTAGGTTGTCATCCATAGTTCTTATATATATAATATCCTGGCTGCTCATTTTTTGTTTACACTCGGGTTTGGCTAATAAAATCAATGTGCTCTTTTTCTCTTTATGGTGTCTCCCACCTCCTTCAATATCCAATGCCTTTTGAACACCTTTACATTTGCTCATTTGTCAAATCCAAAGTCTAATGCTAATCTCCCTGCTTTCAGTGTGCCTTATTATTTGCTTATCACCAGCTTCAGGATGTTTGAAAAGCTTTATTGGCTTCCCTTCTGAAGGTTGTGTAACAACTGAGTGTAGATCATCTTCACTTCCCTAATCACCAATCCTCAAACCATCAATCCTCAAAGAGTTTTATTCCCATTCTTGCATGACGTGTGTGCCCACTTTCCAGGGAGTAAATGTAGAACAGGCAGTTTGGGGTCCAGTTTCATCCCAAGAGCAAAGCCACTGTAGCCAGTGGAATTCTACCAGGGGGAATTCCCTTTGGGTTTTTTTTGTTTTGTGGTTTGTTTGTATGTTTTGTAATTTACTAGTTGCCCTTTTCCACATTATCCATTACACATCTAGGGCTAGATTCACCAGAGTGACTTTTAGGTGCCTAACTGCCACGTTAGATGCCTAAGCCCAACATTTAGGTGCCACTAGCATTCACCATATCCCCAAGGTGCCTACATTTTGGCAACAGGTGTGCACAGCTGCCTCAATCCTGCCCCCATCCAGTGTTTAACTTTCACCTAAGCCCCAGCATGATGGATCAACTAGGCATTCCCCTGTCTATGTTGCCTTTGGGGCCTGATCCCATAGGTGTACTGATAGCATGCCTAAACCTGCACAAAAGATGCCAGAGGAGATGGTGGTGGTGTCCCCCTTTTGCCCAATAGCCCAGTGGTTAGAGCACTCACCCAGGATGTTGGAGACCTAGGTTCAAATCACTGCTGTACTGCCTCCTGTCTCCACAGGGAAGTTGGTGGTATGGTCGGTAGATAAAAGCACGGCTGCAGGATGGAGACCTGCCTGACTTTTCAGCCGCTGAACAACCAGCTGGCTGCAATGTGAGCCTCCTTCCAGCAGGGGATCCCTTGTACTGTCTGACCAGAATTACAGGTATCTAGGACAGGGCACTGCTTGGAAGGGAGTTGGCTGCTGAGGAGTAAGAGGCCTAGAGCTGAAGCTGCCTGATGCCCAGGTTTTCCCAGACGTGACCTTTTTTTTGGTAGCCCACCCTCCATCCGGGCACATTTTTCAAATAAGAGGCAATGTCCAGGATTTTTCATTACGGAGCAGACATCGCTGCTCAGAGAGAGCCATCTCCGCGCCCCGATTGGTCCCTCCCCTGCATCCACAGATGCCAGATCCTGCCTTCCCTAGCCCAGCCTGCCAGGTAAGTGGAGCCGCCAAGTGGCTCTCGGCCAGGCCACCTGCCCCACCGCGGGGCTTCAGAGCCTGTCTGGGAGGGGTGACAGGGCCAGGCTTTGGTTCCCTGCCCTACAGAGCGGGGAGGCACTGACTGACAGGCTGGTGCTGCTCTCAGGCCTGGGCAGCCTCCCTGCCACTGTGATAGGGAGCATGACACTGCTCCCCACCTCGACAGTGAGGCCTCAGGTACCCCCTCTAACACTTCCCAGGTACTCCTCCCAGTACACACACACCCCTCCACCACCCCCAAATACCCACTCCCAGTACACATGCACTCCCCATATACCCCTTCCATCACCCCACAAATACCTCCTCCTAGAACACACACCCCTCCAGCAGCCACAAATACCCCCTACCAGTACACACACCCCTCCAGCAACCCCAAATACCCCCTCCTTGTACACACACCTCTCCAGCACCCTCCCACACCCCCTCCCAGTACACATACATGTCTCCAGCACCCCCAAATACCCCCTTCTAGTATACACACCCCTCCAACACTCCAAAATACCCCCTTCAGCACCCCCAAATACCCCCTACCAGTACACATAAACCCATCCAACATTCCCAAATCCCCTTCCCAGTACATGCACCCCTCCAGCACTCCCAAATACCCTCTCCAGCATCCCCAAATCCCCCTCCCAGTAAACATACCCCTCCAGCACCTCCAAATACCCCCTCCCAGTACACACACACTCCATCCAGCACCCCAAATCCCCCTCCAGCTCCTCCTTTCCCTCCCTACCCCCCAACAGTGTCCTCTAGTTGGGAACTTGAAATATGGTAACCCTATGCCCAGGTAAAGCCCCCATCCCCACTCTTGCTCCCCAGCAACACTAGCTTGTGTTCAGCAATCATCCAGAATCAAATTAGCAGGAACTCTGATTTTAAAAGCCAAATTAAAGAGTCAGGCCAGGGATCTTGCTCAGCCGCACACACCAAAATAGATCAAGGCATCATTTATTAAATTGTTTCTGCTAATTTGAATAACAATTAAGTAGTAATGGCTGCTTCATTGTTTCTCTTTGATACACTGTCAAAAAAGCAGAGATGTTTATAAAAGGACATTATAATTGAACATTGTAGGCTTCCCTTTGGCATTTATTTACTATGGAATCCAGAAATAGAATAATAGACTCATATAAATGAAGGGCTGGAAGGGACCTCACCAGGTCATCCACAGCACCCGATGTGCTGAAGCATGGCCAAGTATACTTAGACTGTCCCTGACAGGTGTTTGTCCAAACTGTTCTTAAAAACCTCCAGTGATGGGGATTCCACAATCTCCTTGGAACTATTATGTTCATTATGTAAAGACCAAAAGGCACAATAAGTGGCAGACAAAATGGATTATTTTTCCAGCTCTGTCACCAAAAGTGTGTATGATATTGTTGACATTGATGTTGATGCATCATCCTCATATTTAATAATAGAGTGGTAACTTACCAAACTTTTTGGTGCCCAATATTCAAAGGCCTTTGGGCATCTTAAAAATAATTAGTTAAAATGAACAACATTCCACAAATAAATTCAACATTGCTGTCTGTTTATAGTTAGTTTGACGTTTGAGTCCACACCTGGCAAGAACGGAGCTGAGCTAATAAAGCAAAGTCTCACGTGGGATAAATAAAAAGATCGACATTGGGGCTACACTGATTACAAAAACCAAATGAATTGTTCAGGAGGTATAGGTTTGTAATGTATTTAAAAATAGAAATTTATTCTAGAGGCTGGGATAATTGTATTGTTACAATAGAACAAGAAAGAAGAACACAAAGGAAAAGGTTCCTTTGTAAACTAAGCAACAAAAATATCTTGATCAAATCCAAACCTCCCCCTTTGGAGCAGACTAACTCACCATTGCAATATATATTCTAGATCTGTGTATGTGCTAAAATGTCCTGTCCTAGCTAGTCACGTCCTAGCTTTAGAAAACTTCCAAAATACTTGATTTGTTCCCTGTGAATCTGAGTTATTTTGTTTTCTGATGTACAGTATATGTGAGGGATGTGTAGTAAGTGGGAGCTGTGTTATCTTCAGTTGTATGGCATATATGAGGGTTACCATGTAGTCATAGCCTTGTTGTATATGGATGTACAATACATGTGAGGGTTGCCATGTGAGTTTGATTGTGGTTTTCAAATGCACAGTGAAGTTTGCCATCTGTCCAGATTTGGCTATTATGGTCGTGAGTCTTATGTTCTGTTTATCACAATGAAGAAGCAAAATGCATGATGATCAAGTCTACCAAAGTTAAAAAACATGCTATCAATTAACCAATTGGGCCCAATCCAGCGCGGTCTTTCTATTAATTTTGGTGATGTCCAGAATGACTGAAGTTTCTCTCAAAACCAATTTTAGCCTTAAAAGGTGAAAAATCAACAGAAAATAGTAGTCAAGCCCTCTGAAACCTTTAATTTGATAATAATAGATGCTGACTCTGTACCTTGAGCTAGACATTTAAAGAGAAAAAAGGAAACGACTTCTTCCACTGATCTTCTATATGTATATTTATGAATATTTACAACCTTCTAGATGCGATTTCAGTGCAGCTTCTTGTTGACTGCTCCAGAAGGTGATGGGGGCATATAATGGATCAGTTTTTATTGTGCAGAATTCAGCAAGGAAAAGTGCTGTGATAGTCACTCTGTATTCCATAATGAACTAGGGTCAGGAGAAATATACTATCAGGGTAGTTTTGCACAGCCATTAAACACCCACTGCTGGCCTGTGTCAGCTGACTCGGGCTCCCAGGTCTCAGGCTACAGGGCGGCTGAAGAAGAGCTCTGTGAGGCTTGAAAGCTTGTGTCTCTCACCAACAGAAGTTGGTCCAATAACAAATATTACCTCACTCACCTTGCCTCTCTGAACTGCAGTGTAGACATTCGGGCTCAGGCTGGACCCTGAGCTTTCGTAGCCCATGAGTGGGGAGTGTCCCAGAGCCTGGGCTCAAGGCTGAGCCCATACATCTACACCACAGTTTTACAAACCTGCAGCCTGAGTCAGCTCACTTGGTCAATTGGTACAATTGCTGTGTAGACATACCCTCAGTGGCCTGTGATCTAATTAGCTACATTCTTGAACTCACCCATCCCTGTGGTATCGGAGCACTGCCTTCCCCTGCAAAAAGCCCTGTCCTTCAGTCATCTCTGTAGCTTTGTAAAATTGCACCTAGACAGCACTTCCGACTGTGCACAGTTGAAAAGGGGGAGGTGGGGGATGGGGAACACGCATCACTACTTGTAATGTTTGATGTCCTCGTGAGTACATTTTTTGTAAATCAGAAGGCAGCTATAACATATTCCCCTCAGTGACATTTCTCTGACCTGAACTGCTCCACTGGGTGAAAATAAAGGAAAACCCTTGAGTCTAGTATAGTATAAACTGTCATGAACAGTAAGAAAAAGAAGGTGGCCCTTCCAGGCTCAGGGGGACATAGCTATATCAATTTACACTCACTTCATGTTTTCAAAGGTACCGTCATAACCAGGAGCCCTAAGAATATATTTTTGAAAATTAAAACAGTTCTGTTGCAGTGGATGGGAGGGGTGGATTCTGTAGCTGTGAAATCTTGGAATCAGGGAGTCTTGCTGTTGATACTCTGCTGTACATAACAGTATCCTAGTGTTGCTCCTTTTAATGACTCCTCCCTGTCCTGCCTTGATTGGCTGACCTGGAGCTCCATTTCGA